ATGGGGTCCCCGAGTCGACGGACTACTTGAACTCGGTCGGTACGGTAGGAGAGTGATGACGAAGTGGTGCAGCTAGGTCCAGCAGCTCCGCCAAAAGGGCTGGTTTGCTTACCCAGGACTAAGCCTTGGAGAGAGGACGGACCTGCGCTCTCGCAGGTCCGTCCTCTCTTTAAAGGCAAACTCCGGAATTAAACTGGTGCTAAGAACGCTTCGCAGTGGTAGCTTAGCTGCAGAGCGACCCCAAAATGGAGAGGGAAACGAGAGAACTCTTTGGGAACGCTGAACTTAAGGCCTTAACCTTCAAAAAGGTCGGATGTGGTACGACGGCAAGACAGGGCGATCAGAGAGGTCAAAACACGCGAGAGAGAACGTCGTTTGAGAGAGCACGCTGATCTCTACATCAATGCACGCTGATCTCACCACATCTCGCGGTGGGTGGGGAGCGTTCGATGGTTGGAGGCCCGTAAGGATTAGCGCCCTAACCGCGCGATTTTCGCGACCAAGTTGAAGCGATATAGGTAGGTACGGGTCTTACGATTTCCCTCGCGGTAACCTTCCTACTAGCCGGGCTAATCCCGGAGTTTGCCTTTAAGCCAAGTCCTGAGTAGGCATCAATGAGGTGGTAAATGGACCGAGTTGAGTTAAGCCCTTGCCGTCGGGGACTCCATGCCCCTCCCCAACATTCTCGTGCAGGTCCTTCCAGCACAAACGCCAAAACAGGCTCTCTAATTCGCTCTGAGGACGATTGTGTGCGTGCGATAATGAATCGAAACTACTTTTTTGCCCTTCCCCGTTCATTGTTCTTAGGTTGCATTTTTTACTCCAACTAAATTATTTCCTTGATTCCACTGTATTTGAAGAACCATTGCGTCCTTCTCCTGGAGATGGGACGTAGTGCATGTACTCACACTCCACATGCATGCTTACTGCTCTAGCCTCGGTGTTCAAAAAACTGGTGACGGATCTTGCACTATCTCTCCGACAGACGTTCATGCCTAGATTGCTATCCCATTTTGACCATCAATCCTGGTTTCATTATGAACTGCTGCCTTACTAGAACCCGTAGCTGACTGACTTTTCGGTCTCCTAATTTTTATTTCAAGATAAATCTCCGTCTGGATAACTCTGGTATTGTTCATCGCCCCTTGAAAAAATAAAAGTTTTCATTTGTTAAAGACGGGGATTCTACAAAAGCGTCACAAGAAACTTCTGGGCAATACGCTACCTTCGTTCCTCGCATCTCTTCTTTTGAGGAATCGTGTGCTCTGAAACATCCTGAAGATTCATCGTATTGCTGGAAGATCTCACTCTTAGCTACTAAAAACCGAGATGAATCCAAAAATGTACCAAAACAACATCTACGACGAGGATAATGGCCTTGCAATGCAATTTGTTATGTCGTTGCTTCTTCAATACTCGTAATTTGAGTAGATTTCAATGTAAGCTTGGTTGTGTAGCAGAGGATCAAGGGCCATTAACGAGGGTTTGGCATGCTATCCCTCCGGCCGTCGGAACGCTACAGCTTCACGCCATAGGTTAATCTTCTCTACGATCATTACGCTCGTGCTCTAATTGTACTGTTGTAATTGCTTTGAACTCATAATAAGCTTCCTCGCTCTTATTGAGGAGGACACTAGCAAGGCCTACTAACTCTGAGTGCCGCTTAAGTTTCTAGCTGCGGTGCTATCTACCAGATGATTATATGTATAGATGTATATA